ACCGTAGCGGCCCGAAGGATGTGGAGGAGGGAGGGGACAGAGAAGGTTATTTCTGTTTGTACTTCGGCAGTAAATATAGCGATCTGCGAGCTACGGCCCGCTGGCAGAAGGCGTAAACATAGCATTTGTTTTGGACACCTTTTCTACCCCCCCCCACTCGCGGGGGTAGACAATACTCTCCCTAAACATGGCTGCTTAGTCGTCTCAGACGGCGGAGTCCACTATGGGACACTAGTTTACTGAGAAGACGGCTCTATGACCTGGACCGCATATGAGGTTGCACGTTGCCCTTGCCCCAAGACTTTTTTATAGGGGAGGAGTGAAGTGGGCTGGGTGTGGGAGCAGCAGTAGTTGTCGTGGTAATAGTGGCAGAAGTAGCAGGATTATTATTAATACTAATAAAACCTATGATACTAATAATATCAGTAATAGTAATACTAATAATACTAACACTAAATACCAACACTTAATCACTAAATTTGGGGATTTCATTAATGTCTCGAAATGTGTTTTCGATGTTCCCTCGTTCTTTTTCCGTGGACCCCATGTAATTGTTTTCGATTGTCATCCAATAGATGCCAAATTTAAGCTATTCGCGAATTCCCTACTCCCAGTTCTGCCCGACACCTACGTCATTTTGTAGGCCCTGTCACTTTTTATCGACGTTTCATCCCTCACTGCAATCAACTGATGTTACTTCCAACTTAACTTTTATGCGGAAGCAACCGCGAGTTCTCTTTTCCTGTCACAGCTGTAGACGCTTTCCAACGCGGACGCAGCCCTAAAGCCGATGCCCCGCTCTCCGCTGTGACCGATGCTTCCAATTTCGCCATTGGTTCAGTCCTCCAGCAAGAGACACCCACAAGCATCAAACCTTTGGCTTTATACTCTACCAAATTGACACCCCCTCAAACTCGTCATAGCTTTTTTGATAGAGAATTCCTTGCCATTTATTTAGCTAGTAAACATTTTCCTAACTATATTGGGGGCAGAGATTTTTCTATTTATACTGACCCCAAACCTTTGACAAGTATCCGACGGTTTAGTCCGGCGTTTCCACCATCAACTCAAAGCCTAGTCCCGGACCCACGACAACGCCCTTCATTGGAGCGAGCATCTGCCTTTGGTCTTGCTCGGTATCCGTACCGCACTCAAGCCCGACTTGGAGTGCTCCTCTGCCGAACTTGTTTACCCTACGGATTTCCGGTGATTTTTTGGACAACCTTAAAGCTTTGCCGACGTAGATCTTACTGAATATTTGCAAAGCTTGCCCCAAATAACAGCTAATATCCGAGTCCACGCACTCTAGCAAATAAGTCATACATTGACTCTCGCTGGTTAAAATGTTCTTTTGTATTTGTTAGCGTGAATGGTGTTCGTAGGCCACTGCAGCTGCCCTTGGAAGGGCCATTTCAGGTAATGTCACGCACGGACAGGCATGTCACAATCGCTCGTGGTGACCGCACCGAAGTGGTATAAGTCGACCATTTGAAGGTGACCTAAACTAAGCCTTTTCCAACTGCCCCCAATAGAACAACCTTCTCCATCCAACACAATTCCCCGGACCGAAGTTCGGGTGATAAAAGAATCCGAGCGGAGGAAGAATAATTAAAAATAGGGAATGAGGGAAGTACCAACGATAGGGTTTGAAAAGCGTGTGTTTCTATGGCTGGTATGAGTGAGCCGTATTAGTCTCAACACCGTGTCAGTGTTGGTTGAAAGGGATGAGACATACTGTTGGCAGCAGAAGGAAGATCAGATGTTGGGAAGGTGGTCTGGATGCTGGCACTCACCGTGGATTCTGTTCTGCTGGACCTGGGAGGGAACCATAGCCTGAGCTCGATGGGCTGTGAGCGATTGAGGATCTCCATATAGCTTGACAACAGGATGTCGGTGATGAAATTCTCCATGTCGTGGTCACATACGATGACACAGGAAAAATTAAATTGAAGGCGAGGGAGGTTTGATGACGATTGAGCTCGGCCACTTCAGAAGTTGAGAGTTCATCACGGCGGGGTCACCAGTTATCGATGAATTAAGGTTGATAAGGTTAACCCTTGTTACTACAATCGTCAGACCCGGTTCCTTCTGAGAAGAGAAGTCGTGAGAGACCAGAGTAGTAGAGACCGTTTATTCTGTACTGAAGGAATGGCAAAGGAGGTAGTAGGAGATTCGACTCTCGGACGAGTGCAGCCCGTTGCCTAGTGGGTGGGGTCCAGAGTGTTAGAGCGTAGGCAGTAATCGCAGTCGGTCACCGAAAACTGTCTTTGTCTTAGTCAGCCCTAAAAGTGATTGGCCAAACGGGGAGAGGCCTACGCTACACGCGTGCTAGCAGGTCGTGCCGGATAGGAGTAGGTCGATAGGCATTGTCGTGCGTCCGCACATGCCGGCTGGCAGTGCCGACCAGGCGTTGGCGCAGAGCATGCGACTGTCCAAAAGGTAGGTTGAGTCTTGCGGTCACGTGACCACATGCGGATCGTGCATGAGGTCGCTACAGTCCTCTCCATCCGGTGCAATGCCTCTTGCTGTTTCCCAAACTCAGCTTATACTCGATAATGCTGCGCCTCCACCTATC